TCTCTCTTTCTCTCTCTCTTTCTCTCTCTCTTTCTCTCTCTCTCTCTTTCTTTCTCTCTTTCTTTCTCTCTCTCTCTCTCTCTCTCTCTCTCTCTTAGTTGAAAAGAAATCAAAGGAACTGAGTTTTGTTTAGTTTTATGCTTTGTGCTGGAAAGACAGAACAAGAAATACAAAGGCGTGCTTCCTTCAGACTAGAACAAACATAATGAAACTTGTCCAGACAAGTTGCATCAGTTTACTTAAATTTATCAGTACATAGTTATGACTTTAAAAATCCTGTTTTAATCCTTGTCTCCTTTCCACAGGAGCTGTCACTATAAGGCAACCTAGGCCAGCCTGACTGCACTTTAGTGCAGGGTCAGAGTGCCAAAAAGGCCAAAAGGGAGGCAGAGAGACCTACGAGCCCCCGGTGCGGGAAGAAAGAACAGGACCACAAAAGGTGATGCCTCAGCTCAGGCTGCCAAGGAACTGCAGTCTAATTCAGGCTTGGTACAGAGAAGTAAACTTAGCCTAATTCTTAAGGGCAGCAGGCAGCAGCTCTCAAGGAACAAACTGAAGGAACTGAAATATGTGCTGGAGATACGAAAATACCGAGTGCGAGTCCTAGAGATTCAGGAGWAGCTTATATAAACCTGACGTCTGATTATGGTTCGCTAAGTACACTAGGCTTGCTCTGAATGAAGAGTGTTCACAGAATCTCTTGTGCTTGTTTTAAACTGATTTTAAAGCTAATGCATATTTAAATGAATATAGTTTTACACACTGATAATCCTGAGACTGGCCTTTGCTTTTCCTGGAAAGAAGGACTTTCAAATAGACACGCTGAAAAGAACATATCTCTAAATTTAAATATTTAGAAATTTAGAAATCTAGATAAGCCAAAGAAAGTTTGGAGAAAATAAGCCACACGGTTGTTTTTAAAAAGAAAAAAAAAGTTATTCCTATATTCACAAATCTTCATTTATGTTAAAGGTTTTTTTTTTTTTTTTTTTTAAAAAAAGGAGCAGAAAAAGTAAGCTAAATGTGAACCTGGCTTTAGCTTGCCCTCCAGTTGAACCAATTTGGTGCTAGAGACGAAAAAAAGACTTTTATTTATTTATCAAAGTGGCCTAGTAGTCTCTCACATACTCTACTTTCCTGCAAGAGAAACTACTTTCTAGTAATGTCTTTTCTTCTGGAATGCCTGTGTGGGGTCCATGCGAGCTTCTAAGGATTTGCCTAGACATGTGGCTGTTGCGAGTTGATTTTTGCACCATCAAAAACCCTTGCATGTGGTTTTAAGAAAAACGCATTTTCAACACACAGCTCGATACTGAGCAGAAATGTAAAACATCTTGCAATTGTTTTTATATAAATGTTCATTTAATTTATTTATTCTTAGTCTATTTGTTATAGATAGGTTCTATGGATCTCAGGATAATGTAAATAATTTCTAATTCCAAGAGGTTCCTATAATGAAATGCTGGCATATGAGTTCTTATTTCTAGTATACATCATTTAAGCAAATATGTTCTTGAACAGACACAGTTTGTGCA